ATATATGTATGTATATATGTATGTATATATGTATGTATATATGTATGTATATATGTATATATGTATATATGTATGTATATATGTATATATGTATGTATGTATATATGTATGTATGTATATATGTGTGTATGTATATATATATGTATGTATATGTATGTATATATGTGTATATATATATATGTATATATATGCACATGTATATATACATATATATATACATGTATATATATGTATATATATATATGTGTATTTATGTGTGTATGTATTTTTGTATCTAAGGGGGCGTAAAGTATGCGCCAGAAAAATTATAAACATTGGTGAATTTTTTTCTTCTTTACAGCGCTATAATGCTGGCTATTTTTGGTTAGATGTTACAGGTCACAGCCAAATTAAAACGCTGATTTATTTCATTTCAGCTGCAGCATTTCCAGCTTTTTAATTTGTTCGCTCTTTCTTCACACGAACACAGACATAAACATACAATTAGGGACTGATTGTCCATGATTCCAACCCTAACATGTAGTTTCCATTCGTCATTTGAGAACTATGGACATGCATTTCTGGCTGTCATGTACAATGCTGACAAACACAATTACCCAAAACATGTATGAAGTTTAAAATGGAAAGTTTGTAAAACATTGCTTACACTAATTTGTTTAAAGTCAGTAAAGCATTCCCAAGAAATTTCGGAATTAGTAACTCCATAATGCAAATTATAAATATTCTCCATTTCCCGTAAGAGATCATCAATATTTGATTCTTCAATTTCCTTGAAACGCAATTCAAACAGATCTTGCCGGTGGGCGTAGAAATTTCTATCATTCAAATCAGCAGGGTTCATCTAAACAGTTAACAAAAATTGGTCATCAGAAGAAAACGGCAACTTTTCAGCACCAATAAGAAAAAATTTGTGAAATTTTCTTAACAGACTAATTGAAGTTTCAAAACGTCACGATATACAATGGCTGTCTTAGCGCGGTTCTACTAGACTGTTCAATGCAAAGTTGAACACAGACTGCTGTCACTAGCGCAACGATTTTCTAAAGTTGTAAAACGAGCTTAGTGTCTATTGTATGGAGTCTGAAATGGCTCTGAAAATATGTACTCTTTTTGTTTTAACAAAGCTCATTCATCTTCGCTGCATAAAATACGAAAATGCAACAAAAGAACTACAGTCAGCGCTTTCACTTTTTACCATCCACTGAAGTTATCCATGTAGTCCCACCCATTAATAACAAGCTGGTACACGATGTCTTATTGTGAACAATAAACTGAATACGTTAAAAAATGCTAAAAGATTCAACAGGGCAGAATGCAATGAACTGTGTTAAAAAACTCTAGTTCACAGAGGAAGAAGTTGCCGAAAAATTTTCGGATTTGCTCCAAAATATAAAAAACGTGAATCCATGCAATTTTCTCTCGCAAAAGAAAAGAAACATACCTGCGTTTCGCTAAACCATACATTTTCGATGTCGCTGTCAAAAATAATATTATAAAAAAGAAGTCCGAAGACAGTATGCCACAATGTACCTTCGGCATGCAAACCTATACAATGAAATCTTATTCAGATATTCGTGATGAGCTAGTGAGGTCAGCAATCGCTGGTTTTAATTAAACTGTTTCATTATTTAGATTTTCCTTTCTATGATAGGACTCTGGAACAACACCGCTGCCAAAAAGGATACTTTGCCTTGTGTCTGATGATACTGTGACTGGTCAGGAACAAACGCTGAAGACGAACATGCAGTGCTATGTGACTGCACGCGTTGGGTGATAAAGCTAATGTTCTTATACGCTTGTTTGTTTCATCGAGGACCAAACTAAAGGCCTGGCACGCGTTGATAAGTGGAGTGAATCACATACAGTCGCTGTCTAAGCTACGGAATGCCCTGCATATAAACTTGCCGATAAAACATGTTTAGTGGAATACAGTCGATACAAAGAACTACATAGCTGTACCCTCGAAAAAAAAGCAGCGACACAATCTTGGTTATTGTAGCCACTGTAACGCACACTTACTTTCCTAATATTGTCTTAATTTTAATTGAAATAGTACTTCAATTGGTGCTTCGATGTTTAATTTTACTGATGCGCTTAATTTCCTCTCTCTTTTTTTAACATTCTGGCGCAGTATAGCAGCCTCGACTTAATTTAGCACTCATTCTGTCGAATTTTTCAACTTTCTTACAATTTTTGGTGTTTTTCAACCACACAAAGTGATTTTTTCACTGCCTCCCCAACTGCATGCTTAATTGGGACCTGCAGACACGCTAACGGTATAATGGATTACAAGACAAACTGAAGCTTGCAGAGCTTCCGGGAAAAAACCAACCTTCTTTGAATCCTTTATTTTTGATATAGTGAAACAAAGCCAGTACTTCGACATTACATTCGAACGAAGCTCCATCTCTGAAATGGCGCATTACAACAATATCAGTCAACGATCTAGCTGACGTTTGATTCGGGCTCTATGCTGAAGAAGCATCAAAACCATTTAGCTGTCTTGGTAAAATTAAGAAAGTGGAGGAAGTGCAATAGCTGAAATTAGCTCTGTTACGACAAACGGCACTGGAGGTGTAGAATTTGTTTAGAACCGCTAAAAATCTAGACAAGGAAGAATGAAAGTAGAAAAGTGCTAATTCCGCCAATAACATGCTGACTTTACAGAGTACTTAAACAGGTCTGTCTCTATCCGCATCAAAGACTGAGTGCTACCAACCATTATCCATTCTTTTGTGATGAACGCGGCTTGTGTCAACAATAACAACAGTTAACAAGCTAAAAATAAAGGAGGCAGTAAGTGCTCCATCAAAGAAGCTTTTATTAACAACAAAGTTACGGATGATCCCTTCTTTAGAGGACTGCAAAAGAAGCCACAGTGATGTTGGATTCAGCAGTTTGAGAACTCTAAAAAGTATTTATAAGAGTTTTGCAAGTCCTACAGGTCTCTTAAGACCTTGAACAACCAAAAACATTCCGAATCCATTTCCCACGAGGAAATCACATGTATTCACTAAGACAACACTAATTTCCTATAAAGCAAAGCTCATGACAGCACGATCGAAATAATCGGGAACCAAACGGATCACGACGTTCCTGAACTGACTTCATGCCAACTATATCAACTGCCTTTTTAAAACAATTTCGCTCTCACAATAAAACATGCTTAGGATATTATCGTATGAGTTAACACCCCGGAGTGGTAAATTCAGCTGTAGGCAGTTGATGCTTAGTTTGTGTGTGTGTGTGTGTGTGTGTGTGTGTGTCAGACTCATATGACTTCACAGCTACAGTCACAGTATATGCAACTCCTGTGAATAAGTAATTCATATACGCAAGCGCCATATGCTGCACGTTTACGAAATATGGGTAACCACTAAAACTCGGTTGACTCGGCTGCACAATATGCACCCATTTTTATGCGTTTTTGGATACGGGTTCAAGCTGCGAAATCCCAGCGCCGGGTTTTTTATCTAGACGAGATTCTAG